ACTCCCCCTGCTAGGTCCCTCCCCCCACCGAGGTCTAGCTTAAGCCCCTCTCCCCCAAGCCTTTCCAGTCCATGCCAGCCCTGCTGGCCTCTCTGTCCCAGACCTGCCCGCCTTCTGACTCACTGCTCTACTTATGTAATTTACTATGCTGTAGCACACAGGTTTGCAGAAGGCTAAAGTGATGCTTCGTCTGCGGAGTCTTCCTGGTGGCTTGCAGAAACCAGGATGCTGTTGATTTCCATGGATTTGACTCCACGGGAATCAGTAATTCTTAGGCAGCATCGGTGACAACCGACAGCTCTCAGAGCAGATTCCAATAGGAGACTGAAGCCCTAACCTCACCGCAGGCACTTTCGCTGACGGTGCAGAATTAAATGTCAATGCAAACGAAGGCGAAACAAACAACAGACAGCAATCAAAGCGCCCTCTGTCATTCACCCTCAAGGACAAGGCCTTAAAGTTACTGCAGGAGGTTTGGTAGACGCTGGGCCTGGGGATGGCAGAGAGAAGAATATAAAGCCGGACACAATACAAAGGCACACACTGGAGCTGTGCTGGAATCTTTCACCTTGCACATATCACCTGCATTCTTTTTGAAAAAAAAAAAAATCTAAAAATATAAAGAAAATTTGAAGTTATAGCCACAGGTTTAGTTGTTGAAAACAAAGAAAGAACTGACATTTCAGAAATGACAAGAATAAAAATTCTATAATTTTTTGTGTTTAAATATCCAAAGTGCCTTTTTAAAAGATTTATTTATTCAGGAAAAAGGCAGAGTTACTCAGAGGCAGAGGCAGAAGAGAGAGAGAGAGATCAATCTTCCATCTGCTGGTTCGCTCCCCAGATGGCCACAATGGCCAGAGTTGTGCCAATCCGAAGCCAGGAGCCAGGAGCTCTTCCAGGTCTCCCACGTGGGTGCAGGGGCCCAAGGACTTGGGCCATCTTCTACTGCTTTCCCAGGCCACAGCACAGAGCTGGATCAGAAGAGGAGCAGCCGGGTCTTGAACAGGTGCCCATACGGGATGCCAGCGCTGCAGGCAGTGGCTTTACCGGCTATGCCACAGCACCAGCTCCCAAAAAGCCTTTTTTAAAAGGAAGGGCAGAAAGACAGAAGAGAGGCAAGAAAGGAGGTGGGAGGGCGGGGATCAGGCAGCCACTCCCTGAGGTCCGCAGCTCAGAGCACTCTGTCACGGGTGCCCTCAGCAGCAGCAGGGCTGCGGGGTGGGGGGTGGGGGGGCACCCAGCCACGGTGACTTGCATGCCGTCCCCCATCCGGCAGGAAGCCACTCAGGACCAGGGCAGCTCCCCAGCCCTTAGCCTGCGATCCCTAGAGCCACAGTGCTCCAGGGTGGGAGGGTCCCTTTCTTCTTGACTTCCTAGAGAGCAGGCAACAGCCTAGGACTTGGCAGCCTCAGCGGAGGGCAGTCATTAGGCGAGAGCAGAGTGCAGCGGAAGCTAAAAGGGGATCGATCCTTCAGCAATCTCCAAGGCAGGCCCTGCGGGAAGGCACCTTCCTCAGCCCCAAGAAGCAACTGCAGTCCTGGCGGACAAAGGCAGGTGCAAAGGAACCTCCGCAGACGGGGATGCCAAGAAATAAGGCCTGTGCAGGCGTCCGAGGGCCAGACCGCAAGCCTTCTGGTTCAGTCACCCCTGGCCGTCTGACGCCTTCAACAGCTGTGCTGGGGCACGGGCAGTCATGAGAAACAGGGGTGGGGGCAGGGCAGGTGAGAAGACCACCTTCTTCAGAAAAGGAAACAAAAGCTGTAGGGGGATTTCTGTCCCCACAGGGGACTGGCAGAAAAGGGTGCCAGATAAGGTCACTGAGCAGCAGAAAGGGACAAAAGCAAAAACCAAAAGGGATCCAAAGAGCCCAGCACCCAGGGCTGCTAGCACCAGGACCCTGCATGGCAATTTCTAGGCCGTTCACAGTGCTTGGAGGTCACAGGTGGCCCCAAGACCTGCGAGAAGCCCACACCCTTCGTGCACCTGAATCTAAGACAAAGGAGAGGAGTGACGTATTTTCCCTGCTCACTTAGCGCCAGTGGTTTACTGCCCTCGGTTACGGAGCTCAGGAATGAAACGACTGTGAGAGCATCCTCCAAGGGTCTGGTCCCCGTGTGACTGTGGGCAAGGAAAGCAGAGCCCAGAGCCCAGACGCTGGCCGCACCCCCGCCCCCGCCCCTGCCCCCGGGCTCCTGGTTGAGTGCCCTTTTGCACATGGCTCAATCTTTCCAGTTCTCCGTTCTCTCAGCAATAAAGCAGAAGCAGTCAAGCTCCTTCAAGAGGGACAGTCCCAGGAGAACACACACACACACACACACACACACACACACACACGCACACGCACACGTGTGTGTGCGCACTTGCACTTCCGTGCCTGGACAGCTGGAGGCTCAAAGGAGAGTGGCCAAGACAATCTCCGGGATCCACATGCACTTGAAAATCCTAGTTTGCTGAAGATCCTGGAACCCGTTCCCAGGAGTAGGAATTCACAACAGAGCAGAAGCCACACAGCAGCAGCCAAAGGGCTGATTCCAACCCGCACCAGGGAGCAGTGGGAGCAGCGCCAGCCCAGGACAAGCAGCGGCAGGCACAGCAGAGGAGAGGACCTGGCTGAGTCCCTGCTGAGCAGGAGAGGGTGAAGGCCCTGGTCAAGGACAGGTGCAGAACCAGACGGCCTGGCTTTAAACTCCAGCTCCACAGGGGCTTGCTTGGGGACCCCCACCCAGATCACTTTAGGGTCCTGGAGACCCTCAATTCTGACCAGCCTTGGCCTTGCAGCCCCCGTGAGGCCCGGCTCCCCGTGAACAGGCAGGGTGCTCTCAGCTCCCTCGGCTCTGCATCCTTGCCTTAGCGGGTGCAGGAGCGTTTCCTGCCCAAAGTGCTGAGCCCACAGTCCCTGGGCCCTGCCTTCTTCCAGGGTCATCCAGGGACTCAGGGCCATGGCGGCGACGTCTGGGCTGCTTTCTTAAAATATCAATATTTATGAGATGATCGTATCTTCGTTTAGATTCCCTAGAAAGATCAATAATTAATATATTTACTGCAAACCAGACATCACCTCATCCGAGGCCCCTCCAAAGCAGGCGCTGCAGTGGTTCCCAGCAGCCACGTTCAGCTTTCCAAAAAAATGCATCGCGCCTCTGCGACAGAGGCTCCGGCCTCCTGAGCCCGCCCCTCCTCCCTCTCTGGTTCTCACCTCACCTAATGCCCAGAAGGACTTCCCCTGCTCCCTCCAGGATGCCCAGCCAGCGGGAACACTGGATGGGGAGCCCGGGCCGGCTTTGCTCCCTGACCCTGGCTGGAGGCAGCCGCTGGGAAAGTCACAGGGGACGTGGCCACGTGACAGGTCACGCTTCCCCATCCCCAGCCAGGGCATCTGCTGTCCTCACTGCAGGTCTGTCCAAGCTTCGCTGCCCCACTCCTGCCTCCCACACCCCAACTTCTCCCCTCCACCTCCAAAAGCACCTGCGACCCCAGCAGACAAGGGAAGTCTCTCTGCAGAGCCCTCGGCAGAGTCAGTCCTTAAATGATGGCTCTGCCCGGTCATCGCCCCAGACGGCTGTTCCTGACGCCAGACCCGCGTCTGCACTCAGGCCGGCTCTTCCGGCTCCTGCCCCATCTTCAAGGATGGGCATGTGGCTTTCCCCACGAGGCCTGGTGCCTCCTCTGCCCCTGCTCCCTCTGTGGCCACGAATGGCCTCCTCATTCCTCACCTTTCCCATGTCACCTTGAGCCACTGCCTAGCAGCCTTTGGCACCACTCCCCACGAACTTTCTATTTGTTATTCCCCTGTTCTTGCGGCTCTGCTTGCCCGCACGCTCATCCTCAGGTGCTGGTGACTGCCCCTCCCCACCCCCTGCCCGGTGTCACCTCTGACTCTTCCCCCTTCCCACTAGCGGTCGTCCCCTGGAAGGATGACATCGGCCTCACAGCTGTGCCTGCTGCTGACGCGTGGCTCAGACCCAAATCGAGATGCACAGCCCAGATCTGTCCCCCTCACTTTCAATGAGCGTGTCCCACGGGTGCACGGCTCCTTGTAAATTTCCCACCAGCATCCCAAGTTCACACCCCCCAGCTGGACGCCACCACTTCTGCTTCTGGGCTCATTCCCTCTGGGTCCCCATCCCCGTGAATGGCATCACCAGGTTCCAAGCCAGATCCAGTCACCACGTCCACCAAATCACCCCTCTCCATGTTGAAGTGCTTCGCCTCTGCGTTTCCATGGCAACCATTCCCTTTCTTCCAGTTCTCATAATTTCTCATTGGAATCTCTTCCATGAGTAATTTATTCACATCTTTTTGAGCATTTTTTTCTTACACTTTACTTAGGATTCTAATCTTTTCCACAATGGAAATTTATTCATAATACATTCAGTACAAACCATAAGATAGTGTTTTTAAGTGATGTCCATTCAATAAACCCTTTGAGTGGCGGGACCAGCTTAAGGCATTGAGCACTTGCTTAGGGCCTAGGAATATATCCTCATCCTCCCATATTGGGTGCTTCTACCCATGGCCCTATGACCACTCCTTCATGCTGACAGCACACAGGTGGGACACAGCACACAGAGGGAGGAACCCATGACTCAAGAGTCAAGGTTCAAACCCTACTAGCCTGGCTCCCTCTAAGAATAAACTCTGAACCACCCATAGCTATCACTTCACATCGAACTCCAAAAGTACTTTCAAGCATGTCTTCCTTAAGTGAGTTCTATGCTTGAGTGGCCTCAGCTCGTCTTCCCACCATCACTAGGGGGTGGGGTAGTGCCTTCCTCCGCCTCCTCCTCCTCCTCCTCCTCCTCTGTGTTTCCATGCACCCAGCCTTGGACCATCTGTGCACACAGTACTCTTCGGAGAAGGGCAGAGTCAGCCACAAGGGCCACACCGAGGCATGTGCTCAGACCCCGGGCTAAATCCAGAATGTCCTTCCTGGGCCCTCTGAGAACAGAGATGTTTGGGGGGAGGGGCACAGAGGACGGGGGCGGGGGGTGACTCACCTTTACACTGCAAGCCCTGCCGCAAGAGGCCCCAGAGCAAGGACCCGCAGTGGTCACAGAAGGTGGGGACCTTGTAGTTGTGGATGCCGAACTTGTGGGGCATGTTGACGCTGAACCGCTGCGAGCCCACCTGCAGGGCGGCCAAATACAACATCAGCACAGAGCTCCTTCACAGCCTGCACCCACTGCCCTGGGGCTCACAGAGAGCTCGGGGTGGCCTAGGCCTGGCCCCAAACACTGTCCTGAGAAACGCGGTGGCTGCACCTCCCTGCTGTGCCCAGCCTTGCCTCTGATGCCCCGACCTTGGGCTCTACAAGGCCAGGCCTGCTCCCCCAGGGGTCCCTCCGGGACTTCAGACCCCTGAACAATCACACACACACACACACACACACACTCATACACAAGACCCTCCACTTGCACCCTCTGGGATATCACCACGAGCTTCCCATGCTGCTTTGCACAAGGAGGCCACACCTGCACAGGCTCTCAGCTGCTCCCTGGTAGACGCAGGGTTCCGGAAGTGTGCTGGGGACTGTGCTGCCAGGACAGGCAGTAATTACAACAAAGCTTGCCAACACAGAGTGCTGGCCGCTAATGATGCTCAGGGCCTAGTGCCAAGCATGCACCAGTGACACGTCACAACGCTGCATGAGTGGGGACACTGTGACCCCAAATTCACAAGTACGGCAATGAAAGGCGTGGGGCTGAAGGAATTCACTGGCAAGCTGACAAGAGGCTTCTGCCCCGGGAGCCTGAATCCAGAGCACCGGCTTTTAAACTACCACACTGCCCCTTGCTGAGCAATCCAAAGCACTGAAGAGAAAGTGGTCAGGCAGAAGGGGAGGAAGTGGGACCAGCAGGCCAGGCGTGTGAGCCTGGGTTTGCCCAAAATCACCGGTGAGGTCCCAGGCAGGTTTCCTTCATGGGGGCCTGGATTCTCAGCTGACAAATGAGGACAGCAGAATCCCTCAGAGTGCCCTACAGAGTCTCAGAACTTTGGGGCCAGTGAGCTAACAGGGCAGGAAGAGGCAGGAAACTAGAAGGGCTCCCCCCAGCAGGGGTGTCAGCACCAGCGACCTTGACCTTGCGGGGCTATTTCCCACCCTGTGTTTCTAGTGGAGCAGGTGCACAACCCAGGCCCTTCTCAGAGCAGGCAGGAGGCCAGCCCTGGAGACAGCTGCTCCTAGGGACTGGGGGAGCTCCCCGCCGTCAGTCCCTGGCAATTTGCTCCTTGGGACATGGCCACGTCTGGGCACACAGCTCTCTGCAGACTCTTCACGGCCCGATACGGCAGGACAGACAGGAGGAGGTCGCAGCTTAGGGCAGGGGGCTGCGCATTCACATCCTGGCCCTCCAGCCTGCATGGCGCGGTCCCTCCCGGAACTGCTCCCTCCAGGGAAGGACAGAAGGGCTCGCAAATCCTGAGAGAGTGACTGGGAGCTGTGCTCTTTCTGTATGTTGTGTGCCAGCCACCAAGCTCTGGGTAACTGCGACCAACACAAGGAAGCAAGCCACAGGATCCCTGAGAGATCAGGGAGATCAGGTTCTCTTGGGACCCACAGAGGCGGCAGTCGAGGGAGGGAAGCGTGGACTTTCCACGTTCGCAGCACTCACCTCATCGGGGGTTTCTTGTTTCTTTAACCCAGCACACTTCGTGATGATGAGCTCATGGCACCGCTTGTGGACGACACAGGTGCAAACTGCAAACAGAGAAAGACAGCCAGGCTGAGGGACGAGGTGGGGAGTCAGGCCCCTGTGTCACTCACTAAAGCCCCACGGGCAGCTATTTCAAAAGACACTTTGCCCACACGGAGATGGGCAGATCCCGAGCGCTTTGTGGAAGAGTAAGACACTGGCATTCAAAGGCGCTGGGAGGTTTCTCCAGTGCTGGTTACGGATCAGTCTTCTTCCTTCAGTACACCAAGGCCTGGGGACCACTTCCTCCCCAGCCCTCCCGCGGGGCACGGCCTGTGAAAGGCACTGCCCTTGGTTCCTGTTCCACTTAGCATCTTGCTGAGATGAGAGGAGGAGCTGTAGCAGGTGGCAGGGAAGTTCCTAGTCTTCTTTTAAAATCTGATATACCAGCCAGCGCCGCGGCTCAATAGGCTAATCCTCCACCTAGCAGCGCCGGCACACCGGGTTCTAGTCCCGGTCGGGGCGCCGGATTCTGTCCCGGTTGCCCCTCTTCCAGGCCAGCTCTCTGCTGTGGCCCTGGAAGGCAGTGGAGGATGGCCTAGGTGCTTAGGCCCTGCACCCCATGGGAGACCAGGAGAGGCACCTGGCTCCTGCCTTCGGATCAGCGCGGTGCGCCAGCCGTGGCGGCCATTGGAGGGTGAACCAACGGCAAAGGAAAACCTTTCTCTCTGTCTCTCTCTCTCACTGTCCACTCTGCCTGTCAAAAAAAAAAAAAAAATCTGATATACCAAACTTGAACATTCCCATGGCATTTAATACAAAAGTCCTTCAAAAAGTTTGCGACAATGTATATTATGAAAAAGGTATGTGTAGATTTCAATTTTTTTGTACCACAATAAACTTACCTTTTAACTTTTTTAATTAGAGAAAAAGAGAAAGAGAGATGTCTCCCATCTGCTGGTTCACTCCCCAGATGCCCACAGTGGCTGGGTTTGGCCCAGGCTAAAGCCAGAAGCTTGGTATGTAATCCAGGTCTCCCACATGGGTGGCCAGGACCCAACTGTGGGCCACCACCTACTGCCTCTGAGTATTAGAATTCAAACCCAAGTACTCTGATGTGGGATGCCTGAGTTCCAAGCAGCATCTTAACCACTCCGCCAAATGCCCACCACTCATCTTCGAACTCCATTTCTCCATGAGCTTTGGGAGGCACCTGTGTATATCCAAGGAGGTGGCCCACAGCTGTCTGCTGTGTCACTGGGCAGTGTGGCCAACAGGTGGCAGAGGAGATCATTCTCTGAGCACACAGGCTAACCCAGAGGCACACCAACCTCCACCAGCGTCTGCCCAAGGTCCCCCAGGGGTGAGCCCCATGTCAGACAGAGCCTGGCAAGGAGCTGGGCGGCCTCCCCGCTCTAACCACAGAGAAACCTCATCATGAACACAGGCATTTCCACCCTCCAATTTGTTCACAACTTGACCTTGCATTTGTAGGCAATTAAGCAGAGGGGGAAAATCATCTTCTAGACCATCGAGTGAGTTTGAAAGTTTTAAGAACTAATGAATCCAGGGCAGAGATAGCAAAAGAGAGAACTGCCGAGGCTCCTTCAGCAATACTGCCTAAACAAGCGAGGGAGAGAGGGGGAAGGGAACTGACAGAACAGGCAGACCTGGCTCACCACACTGCAAGGCTTCGAAGGAGCATCCCACCGAAGCGGTCTGTCCCACCAGGAAGCAGGCAAGTGCTACCTGCTCCACCTGGCACGAAAAGCCCGGGGAGGGGGGGGCTTGGGCTTGCTGAGACCACTGGCAGACAGGTGGTTCCTGCAAGGCCCCTCCCATATGCACAGGTGGAGTCCTGGCTGGGGAACGCAGAGAGCAGGATAAGCCCACAAACATGGCCTCAGACCCAGCACAGCTTCCTGTGAGCATCAGGGATCAGGAGCTCACCCTGGGCCTCGGAAGACTTTGTTCATCAAATACCTCTTACCTTGACACTGGTATCCCTGCTTTCCTATGACACCCCTGAAAGGAAGACACAGCCTTTTAGGAAAATGAAAGTCTGTTAGGTAAAAAAAAAAAAAAAAACACACCAGCACACCAAGCCACCCAACTCTGTGCACCACCCACACTGTACCGAGTCCCATGGAGTGCACTGCTTGGCCTGGGTACAAAGTCTGGTCAGCGTTAAGGGCTTGGTTTCCCACACCAATAGTCATTCCAGCAGGGCTCTGGAAAGCCACAAATGACCCTGCTTGCTCCCTGCTGGCCTGGATCAGTGGACCATTGCCCTCCTTGTGGATAAGAGAGACATTCCTCCTGTCCCAGTACAGGGCTGACGCTGGCAGGTGGATTCTCTGGGCCCTTCAGAGACCACCAAGGGCTGTGGGCCAGTCTGTGGTCTACAGTTTGGGTGAAGGCCACCATTAGGGGTTCCTGACCAGAGGAGGTGCCGGCGGCAAGGTTGGAAGTCGGCAGGGACACAGATCAAACCACCCTGGCCCTATCCCATCCCCAGTGTGTGCCAAGGCCAACTGGGCTGCGGGTGCCCCTGTAGCTCCCAGCCCAGGGGGAGGATCCAGAAGTTATCAGGCCACCTCCCAGCAAACCTCCAACTCAGTGGTGTTCTTTATGGGATTTGAGGAGACTCGCCTGAAGCTGTAAGCCCAACCACTCAACTGACAACCCCAACGTGGAAAATGGGCTTCAGATAGCTGAGTCAGAGTGGGGGTAGGGAAGTGGCCATGCTGGGAATGGGGCATCAGCTTCTGACTCCACTGGGTTGCTCTGCTCGGAGCTGTGTCACCTCAGATGTCCATGCCAAGCGGGTCACTGGTGTCACAATACCTCAGGATAAGACAAGGGACTCCCGGACACCAGGGGAAGCCAGGGAGCCCAATCCACACACCCCTGGCTGGGTTCAGACTGAAACTTGGCCTCACTCACTCCTCCCCGCTGTGTCCCATTGTGTTGGCGACTCTTACAGCACCTTCAAGGAGCTCACAGAGCATGCCGGGAAGGCTGGTGGGACGTCAGGAAAAGCATGAGCCCGCCCAGGGTGGACACATGCCTCTGACGCCCCCCAGCTGGAGGACATCAGATGAGGCTCTTAGTCACTTCTGAGCCTTGGTACTTTTAGTGGAATGGGGTCAACACTATAGAGCTCACAGGACACCTGAAAGATTTAACTTGATATTTCCAGTGTCCAAGAAAGAAACTGACTATGGAGGACATTCATTAAGAGTCCTCCAATGCCAAGACCAGTGCTCTGTATCCTGCCCCAGCTGCCCAAAACACCTACGACCCCCTTCTGTCTGCATATCAAAATCCTATTCATCATGAAAGGAAAAACGCCACCTCCGCCAGGGAGCCTTCCCTGACTATTCCAGCTGATTCGGCTCTCACTGCTCTGAGGTCTCGGCATCCTAACAGCACCACTACTGGAACAGTTCCTAAAAACTGCTTTGTGCTACAGATACTGGCAATCGAGTGCTCTTTAACATCACTGGGGCAAATGCAAATCCATATAAAGTGGAGGGGTGAATACAATGCACCCTCATGCACCCATCCCTCAGCTCCACAGCGCCTGTACCTGCCTGGCCCTGTATCTCCTCTCCTGCCGCCCTCTCTCCCCTCCTCCCAGGGCTAGTTTTAAACCAATGCCAGACACATCTCATTTCCTTTCTAAATCATTTATCTGTCTCTAGGAAAGGTATGGACTCTTTTTAAAAAATACAATTACAATATCATTATTGGCTATAAAGTCTTCACTCCTTCAGTATGGTCTGACCCTGGGTGCAGAGCACCAGGAACCAGGGGTTATTGTTCCCATCCGCTCCTCCCACGCGCCACAGACACACTCAGCCTTCCAGAAAAATCTGCCATCGGATACAGAAGAAAGAGTGCATGGCAGTGATTTTTATTTGCTTTTCGATATAGACAGCAAAATTTATTTTTAGCTGAAACCGATTCTACTCAAAGTTTAAAATTTCAGGAACTCTCCTGCACAATATTTTATTCATGGAAACCATGTCAATATCGAAGTGTGGAAGGCTTGGTGTCGGCTCTGCGCCGTGACAGCGCCTGGAGACGGCGGGCTCTCTCCTCACTGCGGCTCTCCTTTTAAGCTTTACACGGATGTCAGAACCACGCCAAGCGACCGTACTCTAAACCCTGGTGCTTAAAGCAAAGCACGTTTTTGGAGCCATCCCGACTTGGCTTCAAATTAAAACATAATGATTTTGTCTGGAAGAAAACATCCAGCCCCATCGAGTATGAACTCTTACGATCAATACTTTCCTTATGTCAGCACTTTGTAAATGGAGTTTCCAATTCCCCCCCAACCCCAGAGCGGCAATAGCTAGAGGTTCCCAAGAGGGAGCGGCTTACCAGATGAAGTCTCTGCAGTGGGAGCAGTAGGTGGGCTGCCGAAGGTAGGTGGCCATGAACTTGTGGCCGTTGACCTGGTGGACCCTGCGCCTGACCGCCCCCTGCCGCTTCCTCGGCCGCATGCGCTCCCGGAACACGCGCTCTTCATTGTCTTTAGGTGCTGAGGAGGGACGAGAGCAGAGGAGGAAACAGTCTGGGTTAGTGCATCTCCACCACGAGCTCCAAGTTCCCGCTGGAGAGCCGCTGCACCTGCTGTGGGCAGGGGTGGGGCCCATGGAAGGCACCTTTCCTACTGGAGGGACATGGGGGTTTCACCACTCAGCTGCGGAGAGAGCCCCCAGGGGACAGGATGACCCAGGCTGTGCCTTTGCTGCCTGTGGGCTTCCCCATTCTTCCCTGCACCAACTGCACATTTGCAGGTCTAGGAGTTAAAATGCGCAAGGTCTCGACCTTAGTGCAGCTCCCTTGGGCAGATGGGGTCTCTGCACTCTGGGCCTCTGAGAGCGCCTCTCTGCTAATGGGACCATAGCACCGACCACACAGGCAGCTGCTCTCTCCCTCTCACCCAGACTGGGATGATCAGGAACTTTTCCCACAGGTCCAAAAGAGAGGGAAACACGACACTGTGAAAGGAGACAGTTTCCCAAAGGCTCAAGGCCCACCCCCACGGGAGACCAAAGCACCTGGATTTCTTTCCCTCCCTCCACCTCTGAGGCTGCCGCAAACCTAAGCACGCCCCGCAAGGGGCCTAACAGATGACAACAAAAATGATCATGGAGAGTGTTGTGGCCGGCGTGCCTGTGTCTCCTCTCCCTTTATGTGCCCAGCCCTCAGCCCCACTGTCCTGATGTTCAGGAATGAAGTGAGTAGGTTCAGATGCGGTCAGAGGGCGGAGCGGGACCCGTCCCCACGGTGGGGGGAGCATCCTTTATAACAGGAAGAGACTGGACTGAGCTCTGTCAGTAAGCTCACAGTGAGAAGGTGGCCTGAATTTGATCTTAGACTTCCAGCCTGCAGCATTGTGAGAGGTAACTGCCTTTCACTGGAGCCCCGATCTGGCGTCTTGTTGCTATGGCCGTCTGGCTTCAGCCAACGACAACGGCTAACCTGCCACCAGGGGCGGCTGATGCTGTGCCAAGTGTGATGTGTGCAGTCACTCACTGATGCCTCACAACAATCCCACCTGAACGTACTGCTGGTCTCCCCATCACACAGGTGTGCACACTGAGGTGTGGAGGGTTTGATGCTCTCCTGTTAACACAGCTGGTAAGCGTGGAGCTCGGATCCTAACCCAGAGCGGAGGGGGAAACCAACGTTCTCCAGCTCACACAGCACCGAGGGACAGCCCAGGTTCCCTACAGCCAGGCCCCCAGCACTCTCCGGGGCAGCTCCCATTATGGAAAGAACTGAGCTGCTTGTGGCGTCCCCGAGGGCAGAGTCGGCAGGCCCTGGTCTCCTGCCATGCTCCTGGAAGGTGCCCTGCACAGCACTGCTTGAAGTGTGCTGAGAGGGCTTCGCGCGCCCCAGCACGTCAGTCCCCAAGTCCCAGCAGTGCAGTGCCAGCCCTGGGTGGGGTGGGCTGCTCCCCGCTGGGCCTCCTTGAATGCATGGTTCTAGGCCGTGGTGGTTACATGGGTGACCCCAACAGCAATGAGTCCTGGGGACTCTTATGAGTCCAAAGAGGGGAGGGGAGGAGAAAGGAAAGCTGAAAGAGGAAAAAGGCAGAGTGGGGACCAAGTGTGTGGCTTGGGCTTTGAGCCAGAAGTAGTCCCCAAGCGAACAGGCTGCTGCTGGTCGGGAGGGTGCCCTGGAAACCTCTGACTGCATCCTGAGCACAGACCACGGCCCGGGGTGGGGGTCTGCTTGGTGGTCCCAGCCTGCCTGCCCTGCCTTCCTGTTTCAAAGTCTCTGACACTGACCACTCTGAGTAGGGCAAACCCAGTCCCTCCTACCCTTCCCACAACCCACGAGCTTGGATTCACTACCCAAGTTCTCTCTGGAAGATCCGGGGTGTTCGATCAGGGGCATCCAAACACACAGGTACACCCAGGGGTGCGCACACACACACGACAGAAGCACGCTGATCACCACACGGGGCTGCAGCTACGAGTCACTTTCACTTCTGTTCCACACTCAATCTATATTTAGGCTGTTCTATTTCTGTAAGCAGACAAAAATGTGAGAACAAAAAAATCCAATCTCATCAAGAATTCCTTCTTGTTACAAACTTGGTCTACAGAAGTCCAACTCAAAGATCCCAGACCTGGGCATGGCGGGTGGGGCTGGGGGTGGGGAGAGAATTCTTCTTGTAAAACGCACCATCCGCTTCTTTCACAGAATTCAGCACAGAACACTAAGCAGTATACAGCCCCCTGATGCACCTGCGATGTAATTCCATCTGTGAATTAGCTGGTCTCCAAGATGGACTGCGGTGATGGTCGTACACCCACGTGACTGCACTAAAAACTGTTGAGTGTATACTTGAAATGAGTAGCTCGTACGATATGTGAATCATAGCTCAATGGAAGTGCTCTAAAAAACAAACTAGCTAGTCACTTGTACGCTGGAGAACTCTGGTCCAGGTGAAAATGGCAACAAGATGAGTCGATTCTTCTGACAGGAACACTGCTGGGATTGTGGCTGGAGTCCTCCCTGCTCAGCCCATTACAGGAACGACCAGCAGCAAAACCAAACGTCCTACACCACGCGACACTGAGTGAACAGGGCGAGGTGGTGGCCAAGTGATCCCACCCCATGTCTTTTCTACTGACCTTTCTGTAGGGTGGCTGACACCTGGGTCAAAGCTGTTTGAACTGGGAGTGGGGGGAGGGGTGAGCCTCCTCTGGGACAGGTTGGGTCAGGTGCCAAGGCTGACTCTCGTGAGTCAGGGTCTGCCTGGGCCGAGCTGCCCCAAAAGGTGTCCATTACTCCTCCCCTGGGACACACCCGCACGGCCTTTTAAGTTGGGTTTTATGTCCAAACAAAAGGAGCAGAGCCTGACCCCAGGTAGACTCTGGCTCCAAAGGAGACCTCTGCAAAGCAGGAGAGCAGGTGACAGAGGTGGGGTCGGAGCCCAGGGCACGTGAAATCACCTGCATTCCACAGTCCTCTGGACCAGGAAGTCAAGGCCAGGCTGGAGCGTCCAGGGCCCTGTCAGCCACCAGCAGAGAGGAAAGTGACCCCTGTGGTGTGAAGAGGGGGCCTTGTAGTTCTGGAGCTGCCTCCTCCCCAGGACCTCCCCTGCCTGGAGGAGAAATGAGTAAGATAAGTCAGGCACAGGGAAAATACTACATGATGCTACTTACATGGGGAACTGAGGCAGAGAGTAGAACAGAGGTTGCCAGGGTCATAGGGAAGGGAGTCAGGGTGGTGTCAGTCAGGAGCTAGTGCTGTGGTGCATCAGGTAAAGCCACCGCCTGCAGTGCCAGCATCCCATGTGGGCACTGGTTCAAGTCCTGGCTGCTCCACTTCTGATCCAGCTCTCTGCTATGGCCTGGGAAAGCATTAGAAGATGGCCCAACTACCTGGGTCCCTGCCACCCACATGGGAGACCCAGAAGAAGCTCCTGGCTCCTGGCTTCAGGCCCAGCCCAGCACTGGCCATTGCAGTCATTTGGGGAGAGAACCAGCAGATGGAGGATCTCTCTCCCTCTCTCTCTATAACTCTGATTTTCAAAATAAATAAATAAATATTTTTTAAAAGGTGGTATAACTCAGAGGGTATCACATTTCAGTTACACAGAATGAATGGGTTTAGGGATCTACCATATTGCCTGGAACCTGTAGTCAACAATACTGCATTATATGGTTAAACATTTGCTAAAAGGATAGATCTTATGTTACATGTTATCCCAAAAATAAATTTAAAAAATAAAACTCAGAGCTCTAATGGTAGGAGTAACACATTTTGTGTGATATTAAATACATTATATGTAATGTATATAATACTATATATTTACCATATATAAATATATGAGGAATCTTCAAAAAGTTCGTGTAAAATGCATATTATGAGCAAACTGTTCATGAATTTCATGAATGATCTGCACCAAAAGAAATTTCTCTTTGAATTCCATTTTTCAATAAAATGTATGAAGTACTCTCATGTCCTTTTGCTAAATAACTTGCAAGCTGCATCACGACACTTCATCCTTAAATATTTCAGCTTTTAACTCCTAACAACCAAGACGTTGTCCTACATAATCACAGTGTCAGAGCCAAGACATTCACCACTGATGTATTGCCTAAAACGACAGTATTTTAAAAGTTCATGGAAAATGGAATTAAAATATAGATTCATTCTGGTATAAATTTTTTTTAAATATGCATTCCCAAGAACTTCTTAAAAATGATTTTCATTTTTATTTCAAAGGCAGACAGACAGAGAATTTTTCATGTGCTGGTTCATATCCAAAACGCCTATGACAGCCAGGGCTGGGTCTCCCACGTGGGTGGTAGGGACCCAACTACTTGAGCCATCATCTGCTGCCTCCCAAGGTGTGCATTAGATGGAAGCTGAATTGGAAACAGAGGAGCCAGGACTTGAACTGGGCACTCTGATAAGAGATGCAGGTATTGCAAGCAGTATCGTCTACCCCAGTACCCCCAAAGATTTATTTATTTATTAGAATGGCAAAGTGTCAGATAGAAGACGACGCAGAGAGATACCTTCCGTTCTCTGGTTCATTCCCCAAATGGCTGCCTCAGCCAGGGCTGGGCTAGGCTGAAACCAGCAGCCAGGAGCTGCATTCTGGTCTCCCCTGTGTTGTCAGGGACAGGAGCACTTGGACCATGACCTGCTGCATTCTCAGGCCCCTGAGCAGAGCTGGGTGGGAAGCCGAGCAGCTGGGACTGCAGGTGGTGCTCTTGTATGGGAACGCCAGTGTCAGGAGCAGCAGTGTCACCTGCTGTGCCACAACAGGGACGCCAAAAGCAGTGTCTTAACCACTGTGCCAAATGCCCACCTCTATGGACAGCTCATATTCCAATTTCCATGATTATTACCTAAATGTCCATCATTTGATTTTTTAAAAACTTTAATACAGGAGCTACTCAGAACTCACACACTGCCTTTGGTTGCCATATCACTTCAGTCTCTTTAGTCTAAGAGTTTCTTTCACATTTTCCCATTTTTATGGCACATTTAGAAAGAGTCTATGTT